GATCAGAAGTCAATGGGGCTACTCACAGTGCATAAAGCACGTACCTAAGTCTTTGCAGGATCAGGGCCTTATTCCTTTCCAAAGGAAAAATAATCTAAACGTATTGGTAAAGTACAATAATCCCTTGCAGGGATTTTTAAAAAAATGAAAGATGGTCACATGGCTGTGACACGGGCAGACCGGATGCCAGCTCATGCCAAAGCCCCAGACTTCACTGAATGCTTACAGATGCATAGCTGGAAGCCAGGCCAATTCACTTGTGTATTAGTATAGATCAAAGTGATTGACAAATGTATAAGAATGTATTTGGCGTTTAAACTAATGGGATGTTAATACATTGTTTTAACTAATGCATTGTTTTCACTATCTGGATCCTGTTATAATGCTGTAGCAAACATTCACATAGTGTATGCCCCTGTCAGTAAATAACCCATCAAATGAGAAAGAAACCTTGTGGAATGCAAATGAAGAACTTTAACAGAAAAGTGTTAATTTCAAAGCAAGTGGTCATTGTGTGTGATGATCGAAGGTCAAAGACTCCAAATGTATTCCTCACTCTCTGCCATCAAAGGAAAAGCCCACAGGGGTATTGACCCTGTCAGCTTGTTTTCTGTGGGAAGAAAACTACGAGTATGGATTCAGGGAAAATTCCTTCATCTCTACACTGTTTGGATTCTAACAGGGCAGAATAAATGAACATGGAGATAGAGATTCCATGAGTTATTCTGGGTCACCCTGAGAGACTTTTGGGAAACCGGCAGATCACTACATCTCTGCTACCATTTGGAATTATAGACTGACTCATCTGTACATATATTTTATCTTCTTTAATCTCTCAATAACTCTTATTACCTTTTTTTAGCTAATAAACCTTTAGTTAGTTTACTATAGAATTGTCTACCAGCGTTGTCTTTGGTATAAAATCTAGGATACCAATTGATCTGGGGTAAGTGATTAGAGTCTGGGACTGGAAGCAACCTGAATGTGGTGTGATTTTTGGTGTAAATGACCCTTTATCATGAAGTCAAGTTTGTCTGGGTGGCAAGATATACTAGAGAGTCTGTCTGTGACTCCATGGTAAGACTGGTACAGTGATCCCAGAATTCACATTTGTTACTGGCTTGGTGAAATCTAATTATAGAACACACCACCATTTTCGGGTTTCTGCCCTGTTTTCTGACAGCCTGCCCTGAGATAGGCATTCATGGTCGTGAACCACTCCAGACAGCATGACAGTGACCAAATGAGATATTTGTTTAGGAATTTTGAGGTCTTAAATATGTAGATTCAACATCTCTGATTTGATTTATATTAAACATATTTTAACATTTAGTCTGATGGGTACTTTGTGCCTGAGTAGAAATTATGCATCTTTTTATGCGGTGCTTAAACAACAAAGCATTTTCTCTAATTTATAGACCATTTTTAAAAAGTTTGCCTCAGCTAATCGGACTATACTGTGCTGTACTTACAATTAACACACATCCGAGGTCATAATTCTCTTTCTCCTCCATGATGAGTTTGGTTCCGTACCAAAATGCAAGAGCAAAGGCTCCAAATAACATAAACTCTGCGAAACCCAAAGATGTGTAGGTGGTAATGGATTTTTTGACTCCAACTTTCCTAGCATTCTCTAGGTTAACATCATATCTGAAAACAGATGATAAATGTTAAATCTGGTATGTACCCAGATGACATTCAGTTCCCTAACTTCCTTTCATGCTTCCAGGGTTTTCTGCCATAAAAAACAATTACCTAGATTCTTAGATGGTGTGAATCAACACAGTTTCATTGATTTTACATCAACAGAGGATCTGGCCCAATAGTAGGTCTGCCTTCTGGTGTTATTTCATTGAACGTAGCTGCTCTGAGTGAATTAGCAGGCACACAGATAAACATGATATGTTAGGGAACACTCAACATGGCTTTTGTAAATGGAAATTGTGCCTCACCGATCTATTACAATTCTTTGAGAGTTTCAGCAAGCGTGTGGACAAGGGTGATCCAGTTGATATAGCGTACCTGGACTTTCAGAAAACCTTTGACAAGGTCCCACACCAAAGGTTCTTAAGCAAAGACATGGGATAAGAGTGATAGGAAACAAAGGGTAGGAATAAATGATCAGTTTTCGCAGCAGGGAGAGATAAATTACAGATCCTTTGGGGACCCTGCTCAGAGACCTGTGCTGTTCATATATTCATAAATTATATGAAAAAGAGGGTGAACAATG